GTGTAGTTGGTTATCACATCCGCTTAGCACGTAGTTTGTGAAATGCGGAAGGTGCTGGGTTCAATTCCCAGTGTGTCCACTATGGGTTGATTCTATTTTTTTTCTTCCTTTTATGTGAAAGCGGGGAGGGCCCCCGGGGGTGGGAGCCCTGTGTACCCTGTGGTTTAAACTTTGTGACTCTAGTTTCGTCTGCCATGCGGATCGGAGCTGCAGACTCGAATACTTGATGTTGCCCTCATACCCAGCTCATCCACGAACGTTATGCTCGTCCTTCTTGGTCTCCTACGCATAAGCTGAATTGGTTACTGCGTTTCGTTAACCCGCTACATTCGAATTTTATGTACATAGCACACCGGATTCCTCAAGGCCTCACCTCTTATGCATTATGCAGCACTTTGTCTTAGCTGAGAAATGACTCGAGCTTCCTTTCTACTCTCCGCCACGCACTTTCGGTGAAAGTCTGCAAACTGAAGTTAAGTAATTCAAAATCATCACCCACATACGTACGATTCAAGCTACGGCTGACTTGCCGAGCTCTAGTTAACTCGCCGTTACCCAGCATGCGATTCTCATCTGGACGCCGCATAGGTCTTCAACAGAAGGGTGGAAATGCGAGTGGTAACTGTACTCTAATACAAAACAAACCAAGTAAACACTATCTAGCTCTCTTTCTTCTCGACAGCTTCCGCTATCCGGCGGTGCTCTCTGCGCTCCCGGCCGCGCGTGATCATCGCCTTGGGCTGCATGTCCGCGAATAGCCATTTGCACGTGATCTCAATGAGCCAGCAGCCGGCGAAGTCGACAACCATTGCTGTCGTCAGCTTGAACTTGAACTAGCCACGTCGAAATATATGATAAGCATAGGTAGTCCGGAGGGGCAAAGAAGAAAGAGACGCACGATATTCTCCATCTCTACAATCTGCAGCCACCTGTTTAGCTCGGGCATGAAGTCGGTCGCGCCCGAGAACGCAACAGCACTCGCGCCGACGAGGCCCCACCAGAGTGCTTTGTTCTCGCGGATGCCCTCGCGGAAAGGCCGTCCCTGGAAGTTGATCGTGAACGTCGAGACCTGCTGTGACAGGCTCAGGAGGTAGATCGCCGTGTTGAGCAGATTCGGCTCGAATTTGGCCTCCAAGTCAATCTCGCCGCGCCTGCACTCGGGTCAGCTGAGAATGAGGGAAGGAAGGGGAGGGGCTCGTACTCTTCGAACTGCCGAGATAGCTGCGTGATGTACACAAGCGACACAATGTGCAGCGCGAATTGCAGGAGGACCGACAGTAGTACGTAGAGGTTGAAAATGTTACCCAGTGGCGCTCGCGGGAGAGTTTCTCGACAGGCTATCGCGCACCGGTCAGTTAGCAGCATAAGATAGGGGCAGGGCGACGGACCTTGGCGCGAGAGATGCAGAGGAAGCAAACAGACATGAGCATACCAGTGATGGTGACCTGATAATCGCCAAACTTGATCCCATCAAGATACTGCACACTCAAGCTGTACGCAGTGATGAGACAGTTCAACGCCAGAATCTTGTACATCTGGATGGTGGCGACAAGCGTGCACCGGCCTTGGCGGATGATATGTGTGACTGCGACGCGTCAGTCTCTGAGGGGCAACCATAGACAGAATAGCGGAACTCACTTGCAGAGACGTTCGAGAGCTTCGACGTGAACGGCGCCGCGCATGACGCGTCGCCAAGTTTGATCTTCGGCACCTCCTCGTCGTCCTCCACCTCAGCCAGTTTGTCCGTGATCATCGACAGGTCGAACTTTTCCATCGGGTTCTTCTTCCGCGACTCCTGCAGGTCCTTCGCCGCGCGCTGCTGTGCCTCGACGACGTTCGGGTACATGTGTGCAATCGCCGGCGGGACGGGCGGCGGCGGCTGGTTGAAGCGTGCCGAAATCTTCAGTTGGCTCTCGTACACCTTCTTCAGACGCTCCATCTTCTGGTGTTCCGCAATCTTCGTGAGGTCCTCGGGCGTGCCGTCGAGCAGCGCGACGCCGATGTGCGCCTGCTTGAGCGCGCCGACGTCGTTCGTGCCGTCACCCGCCATGAGCGTGACGTAGCCGAGCGATTTGAGCGATGTCAGAATGTACTCCTTTTGTGCCGGTGATACACGCGCATACACCCAGGTGTGTTGGACTAGTGCTTGCCATGAGGGTTTATTTTCGAATTGTCTGACAGCAGCGCCTGTCATGCAGATATCGTACTCTTGAAGTAGCGATTCATCGATGGGTTCTTCAGGATTGACGGGAATCAGCTTAGACTCGTCCACTGTGCGCCATACAAGGTCTAGAAAAATATACGGTCAGCAAACAATTTTTTGACTGGGACCATAACACATACCCGTCTCATTCTTGGCGTTCTCTCGAAGGTCAAGGATAAGCACATCACGATCGACAATCTCGACATCCTTGGCAACATGTGCGGCCGTTAAGGGATTGTCTCCGGTAATCATGATGCACTGAAAACTACATCAGTTCAAAATCTTTGAACAGCCAGCCTTGCAGGACCCACACGGTGCGAAGAGTCTGCCAACATTTTGAGGGTCTCAACAGCATCAGGCTTAAGCGGGCAGTGGAAGACGAGGAAGCCGACGAAGGTCAGCCCAGTCTCGACCTGGTCTCTTGACAGCTTATTGATCTGCACATTTATAAGTACCCGATCATGAGGAAAGTAGACGACATACGCACCTTCTCCGTAGACATAGTCTCCGTCTCACGGAACCCAAGCGCGAGCACTCGACTGCCACGCCGCGTATAGTACTTGTACGTCTCATCGTAGAACTCTGGGACGACCGCGAGCATGCCCCGGATCGTCTCGGGCGCGCCCTTGACGGCGACGACGAGCTTCCCGCTCGGCAGGCTGCACACCGTCGACATGCGTTTCAGCGCGGACGAGAACTGGTACCGGCGCCGAACGTGCAGCGTCGTGCGGTGCAGCGTCGCCCCGTCGCCCGGCGAGATCTGGTCGTTCTTGCCGAGCCGCCAGCTTAGCGCGTCCAGCGTCGTCTTCTCCATCGGGTCGCCCACAATCGTGCCGTCGTCCAGCCGCACGAGCGCGTGCGCCGCGGCGAGGCACAGAGTCGTCTCGCGCGAAGCTTCCTTGACGCTGACGAGCCTGAGCTTATCGGACGTGCTGCGGACTGCGTGAGCGCCATGTAAAAGTGAGCGCCGCTGTGGAACGTACTCAACACCGGCAACGCCCTCGAGGACCAGACTCTCGGCGGTGATGGTTCCAGTCTTGTCGAAGCAGCAGACATCTACACGGCCCGCAAACGGAATCCGGAACGGCTCGGTGCAGAAGATCGCTGCGGAAGTTGTCAGCCTGGGCGCACGACGCCAAACCGCAGGGCACGCACCATACTTGGACAGCGCGACGAGCGACGCGTTGACCGCGAGCGAGAGCTCCATCGGCAACTCGGGCGGGACGACGGACGTGATGATGAGCACGCAGTCGAGGAGGAGCTTCGACTTCTTGAGCCCGCGCTCGATGCCCTTGACCCAGACGTACCAGCTCGCGGCGATGGCGAAGATGAGCAGGAAGCCGATGAAGAGGAACGACTCGAGGTTGTTCGCCGACACGCGCTCCGTCGAGAAAATCATCGTGCGCACGAGCTGGCCCTGCGCCGTGCCGAAACCGGTGCGGAGCACGACGCCGAGGCAGCCACCGTCGGGTGTGTCGCCGCCGCTACGGGCCTGGAGAACTTTTGTGCCGCTGAATAGGATCGCGTTCTTGTGCGTGGCGTCGACGTCGAGCCGCTCTTGGCCATCCAGAAGCTCGATGGACTCTTTGAGGAGGGGCGTAGACTCGCCTGAGAGCATAGCTTCGTTGACAATGCACCCGCCGTTTACCAGAACGATATCTGCTGAAACAGTGGTCTCTGACTGCTGGTGGACTGCGGAAAGACGTGTCAAGTCTTGCAAATCTAACAGCACGCCCTGAATGAGACGCACCAACCGAGACGATGTCCCCTGGTAGCAACTCGTCAGTTTGGATCGTTTCCCACTTGCCGTCCCTCTTGCAGTTAATCGGGAATGGAGCGACTGCCATAGTCCTGAACTCTGTCAGAGTGCGCAGACGCTGGGAATCGTGTCAATAGCTGAATCCTTGGCTGATATGGTCGAATGCTTCGCTCACCTGCCAAACAACGGTGCACTCAAAGACCACAAGCATGAACAGAGTGAACAGACTGTAGTACCAGTATTCGTCTAAGCACCAGAGTGCGACACAAAAGATCTGGAAGACGAAGAACGGCGCCGTCGCATGCTCAGCAAAGAGCGCAGAGAAAGACGGGATGGGGATGTTGAACTCGTTCTTGCCGTACAGCTCACGCAACTCCTGCACGTTGGCAGAGCGGAGTCCCGTTGGCGCGTGATACGTCGCAAGCGGGGGGTTACTCGCGGATGGATATGGTAGCGTGACGAATACCACAGGGTCGGCGGACTGGAGGACGTAGGTGTCCCGCTGGTAGCTGAAGGTGTACGTTTTCAAATCCGAGGGTACCTTCTTGTGCAGAGGTACAATATCGCCAACGCCACGGTGAGGGGCAGGAATCAGTCGAATACAGTCTGCGTCTTCTAATGAGACAGCCTGGAGGCACTGTCAGACGTTCTGTATCCCAGAAAGAACGGCTAGCGGTGCGCACCTTGCGAGTAGTGACCCAAGCCTTTGCCGCCGTGCTCCACCGCGTCACCAAAAAGCTAAGGGCATGCCCGGCACCGAGAGTAACACACGCCAAGAAAGTCCATTCTTCGCTTTGCAGCCAGTTGTCGTACTTGACGTAGTAGGCGTACGCAAGGAGCGGATAGAGCGATAGGAATGGGATCGTGTACAGATACGTGTACCACGGCAGCGCTTTGTGGACGGTCGCCGCGACGATTTCGGGCGACTCGACTTTGACCAACGCCCTGCAAAAGCATCGTTAGCTGCAGCACAAGACCAAAACTCGCGAACTTGCATATCGTTTGTCCTGTACTGAGGACCGCGCAGCCTCTGTGCTACCTAATTGCGTCGAGATTGGTAGGCCCGGCTCCCCAGAATTATTTTCTGCGGATTACTGTACAGCAGGGGGGTGTACTGTGTGCCAGCGGGTGTCGAGAGAGGCGACCGCTGGCTGGGGGGGGGGGGGCGGTTTTGAGGAAAGGACGGCGCAAGTGTTCGGAGGAAGCGGCAACGCGACGTGGCAAATACGGCAGTTGTTTTCCACGCGCCTCTTGCAGCGAACAAACACTGACAAACAGCATGGCCACCAGGAGGCCATGTTGACCAACACGGTGCCGTTTGTGCCAGCCAGCCCTTCAAGCTCTCTCGCTGAAAGCGTTCCCTAGATACATCTCAACTATAATAATAACGTGTTGATCTCGTTTGCTCGTGCAAGTAATCCAGGACCGAGGTTGCACGGCCAATTTGTCGAAGGTCTCATCTCCTCACCTTCTGCTATCATACTGTAAGACCCGCTCAGACGTCCACCACGCTGATTGAGCTGGTTCAATAAACATGATGTCATTATTCGCCAATTGCATTCACGAAGACCCTCGACTTTGTAGCGTATATAGAGATACAGCAACATATAAATAAGAAGGCTTAATAGATAGAATATATTAAGCGGCCCGGCAGTTCCAGGTCTTGCTTCCACAGACTATTCCCGAGGTTCAGAGTACTACAACGCACCCGGTCAGCATTGCGCCTCCATGACAGAGACCAAAGCATGCGCACCTGCACGGTCAACGAAGTCGGCCAGGGCGTGACGTGGCCAAGCGGGTTCAGGTACAACGCTGCCCCAGCTGGTCCGTCCGTGGACACCTGGGCAAGGCTGTGTAGCAAAGGAGTCAGTACGTGATCAGTCGGTGCAATACGGGTGGACATACCTGTGGAGCTTGCCGGACGGTCCTGGAGCCCTTTCAAGGTTGGGAAGGCTGAAGATGCACCGCAGCATGGCCGGTACGGTCTAGAATACTCGTCAGTCTCCTGCCGCGACTGATCTTATGCCGAAACGGCGACTCACAGCCTCGATGAACCTCTTGTCCATAAGCCTACCGAAAAAGAGCCAATCAGGCCACTTTCGCTCACCGAACAGGACCAGGATGCCGACTTACCCGTGCGAGATCCCCACATCGTTCGCCTCGCCGACCGCCTCAGAGACCTCCTGTACGAACCCCCTGTCGCGTGCGTCAAAGCCGGGCCTCGCGAGCCCCTCGCGCAGGCGCCGCGTCTTCTCCCCGCCGTCGAGGACGCGGTCCACGACGCGGGCGACGCACCGCGAGTACACCACCGCCGTCGCCGCGAGCTCGCCCACGAAGCTGGCCGCGAGGCCCTCCGTGTCGCTCGCGAAGCGCATCGCGGCGAGGAGCGCCGCGTCGTCGGGGCTCGCGCACGGCGGGCGCGCGACAAAGTCCTCGCCACCGCCGCCGCCACCTGCAGGCGCGCCGAGCGCGTCGAGGGACCGCACGAGCCGCCGCACGATGCGGTTGATGAAGTCGGTCGCGGCGAAGGCGCTGTCGGCGCCCGCGATGTGCTGGGAGATGCTCGCCGCCACGGCTGCCGCGTGCTGCCGCAGCGAGAACGCGTGCTCGGGCTCGTCGTTGATGTAGACGTAGCTGTTGTGCGGGCGTTGTTAGTGGTGTGTGTCGCGAAGCCGGTGGCGAACGGAACTCACTCTGCCAGGTCCGCGAAACCCTGGAAGTACTGCTCGGGGTGGTAGCACTTGTTCCCGTCCTGCGTCTGCTGCGTGCCTGGCTGGATCTGTCGTGCACAGCCTCAGAACCCGTCACGGAGAGCGACAATGCCACACGGCGCGAAAAAGAAAAGAAAAACCACTCACGATCGCCGCGACCCAGAAGATGGGCACCATGTTGATGACGTCTCGCACGATGTCGATGTACCGCGCGCCGCCGCCGAGCGCGAGGGACTGCTGGCAGATCTGCGCGTCCGTGAAGCGCACGAAGCTGCGCCGGTGGTCCTCCAGCGTCTTCGCGCCAAACAGCAGCCGCTCGAGCTCCTTCGACGGCAGGTCCTCGCACCCCGTGACTTCCTGTATGCGCGCCTGGTACCCGGCGCGCGGGCGCGGGAAGCCGCGCACGGGCACGGTGGGCGGCGCACGGGAGGGCAGGACGGGGCGCGTCCAGGTGTACTCCTCGGCGAGCGCGGGGTCACGCCCGGCCATCTCAACACGCATGTGTCGCGGGACGAGGAAGGGAAGTGCGCGTACGCGCTGCCCGCCGGGTAGCACTCGGGGAGCGTCCGGAAGAGCAGCTTGGTGAGCATGCCCCCGTACGAGCCGTCGTTGACGTCGAACTGGCAGTCGGCGTAGCCCCACGCGGTCAGGTTCTGCGGCGTGAACTCGGTCGTCAGGAAGCGGTCGCCGCGCGTGAGGGCGACGGCGTCGGAGAGGATGGCGCGCGAGATGGTGTAGCCTGGACAAAGCCCGGCGCCTGGTCCGGGCGGCTTTGCCTCTTCTGCTTGCAGACCGACCTGCATGATTACTTAGCACGTAGAAGGGACGTAGGGCGCCATTCGTCACGTACATAGAGCTCAAGGTTCTCAATGTCATGGTACAGCATCCGCGCCGCATTCTGTACGATCTGTCAGCACACTATGGGCCATATCATATTAGAAGAACATACGGCGACATCTTCGTCTTGGTTCCACTCGGAGAAGCTGCAGGCAGCTGGCGTCAGTGACAGCTCCAGATATCATCGTTGTAAAATCTGACCTAGAGTATGCTATGGACACTTTGGTTAGCACTTGACGTCGTCGCAGGCAACAAGGCTACTCACGCTTCAAGCCCATGAACCGCCTGAACTCGTTCAGCTGGAGCCCGCCAAAGTCAGACGAGCATCCTCATCGTGCGTGTACGCGACACACTCACCGAGCACGTCCCCCAGCTCCTCGCCTGTTCGATCGCCATGAGCTCGACAACCTTCATCGCCTCGGGGATGCCCCGGGCACGGAAAGCACCCGCCTCGGCCTCGGTCGCGTCTTGGAGGATCTTTGCGAGGTCCACTAGCAGGACTGTCAGACACCCCAGACGTCCACAGGTAAGAGAGACAACCCACCGTCCCTGAACCGCCCCTTCTCGTCGCGCTTCAGGCTGGAAAAACAACGCTCATGAGCTCATGGGGGACTTCCCGCCACCACCACCAAGCGCGGCACACACTCACCTTCCAAACGTCCACTGCTGCACGTCCGCCGGCGGCCTGAGGCGTCCGTACGCCTTCTTCATGTCCTCCCTCGTGAGCGTCGCAGGGTCCTTCCCGGGCGGGGCCACCCTACGGAGCGCGTCCTCGGCCCAGGCCGTGTCGGGCGCAGACAGCGCGGCGTGCCAGCGGTACATGAGGTTGAACTCGACGGAGACGACGTTGCCGTCGCCGCGCGGGGCGACGTCGTGCGCGACGGTGCGGTACGGCTCGAGGATCTTGAGCCGCCACGCGCGCCCGTCGCGCACGAGCCCGAGGATCGCCCCGACGTAGTCGCCCAGGATCGCCTGCATGAAGAGCCCGCAGTTGACGAGGCGCGCGCGCGCGAACAGCTCGTCGTCCTGCGCCGCGAGCGCCGCGCTGTTGCCGGACAGCGCGCCCGGCGCGCGGAACGTCCCGCGCTCGTTGATCGCGAGGAGCTTCGAGGCGGTGTACTGCACAAAAAGGCGTGAGAAACGGGCAAGGGGGGAGAGCGGGCGGGCGGGCGACGCACATTGTGGTTGCGGCAGAGAAGCACGAGGAGGGCGCACGTCGAGGGCGGCATGAACAGCAGCCTGCCGTCCGCGAACACGTCTTCCTTCAGGCGTCCCGTCCCGTCCTTGCCTGCGCATCCGTCCTAGTCAGCCCCATCCACACACACCAGAGGACGAGAAACGGCTGCTCACGTCGGATGCTATCCACCTGCGCCTCCGAGCTGCCGTACAGCGGGCTCAGGTCGAGGTAGCTGCTCGCGTTGTTGATCGTGGGGTCGTTCTGGTCGGTGTTGAAGATCGAGTGGATGACCAGGTCCGCAAAGGCGAAGAACAGACTCGACACGCCGCCTGCCATCGCACCGTCAGTCTCGCCGAGTCTCTTTCTGTACTGCCGCGGCGGGTCAGACATACCTGGGTGCGGCACGAATTTGTCGCGCTTGAGGAGCATGTCAAAGACGAGGCCGGGGTCCGGCAGCGCAGAGGCGGGGAGCGGGAGCGTGGAGGGCACGGAGCGGGCGTAGGGCACGCCTGCCTTGCCGAGCTCGGGATAGAGGACGTTGTAGTCGGAGCCGTCTGCGGTGCGGAAGGCGTAGGTGACGCCCTTGTGCCGTTTCTGCAGGGCATGGGATGTCTCGTTGGGCACGGACAAGTACCCGGCCGGCGGGTGGGGGAGGTCCTTGTACACTGCGTCGGGGTGTTTATAATGGGCTGGTTACGGGCAGAGGAGGGGACGTACGGAAGTTGACGACGATGCTCTCGAGTCTGTGCTCCAGGGCCCAGTCGCTGTGGTCCGCCATCCACACGAGCACCTTTTCGAGCTGTGTACGTCGTGAGCACGAGGGGTGCGGGCAGAGAGAGCAGAGGCATACCAGCATATGGCGGTCATCGAGCCCATGTCCTGTCCAGGAATCGCGCAAGTCCTCGTACAGGTCTACCTGCGGATGACTGTTCGTAGACGTCAACGTGCGAGCGATATCGGTTTACTCACGAATTGTTTGTAGATGGTTGCATCGTTCGCGGGCCTGCCGTGCTTGAGCGCAGGCGAGACGGACCGGCATCTTGGGATGCTGCCGTCCTCGTTGGGCGGGGTGACGGTGCTGCCTTGGCTGCGGCTCTGCCTCTCGTCGAGCTCGATTTTGAACTCGGAGACTGCGTTGCCCATGGTTGATGTTCGCTATAAATCAAAGCTAGAATATTCGAGGAGATGCGGTGGTGGCCAGAGATGAGATGATGCGGGTGCAGGTTGCTTGAGGGAGATGGACGAAGGCATTTATAGGCTGGAGATGGTCATCACCGGAGGGACCCATCTGCGGTACTCGCGATGATATGAGCCCGGCGCACACCTTGACAGAACCTTGGTGCATTGTTCGTTGTCGCTGCCGCCATCCACGGGCCGGTGCTGCTGCCGACTCCGGCCGGCGCGCCACATCCAACTCCCCAGCTCTCCACCGCTGCCAGATTCGCCGGACGACGTCCGAGCACAGTCCACCGACATCTCCAGGCGGGGAGGCGGTGGATAGCAAGACTAATGTCCACATGCTCTTTCGACGTGCGAACAATTCAGGAACAAGCATGAGCGCGTGATGGTAGTCTCAATCATGAACAGGCCCTGCGCGATCCCATCCGCAGAGCTTTCCGGCGCATTGACAGCGGCACCAGCTTTCGCGCGCCCGTTGTAATGCAGCATCCTATCCCTGATGGACTGCGTGCGTCCACCCACTTGAGCCACACCTGAAACCAAGCCCGAGAACTGACAGGTCAAGGACGAAAGTTGCGGTACTCGCCACGACTCTACCGTTCTGGCCGAAACCCAAACACTACGCAGGCCCCCTCAGAGCATACAGAACACCGCAACTGGGCCAGTGACGACGATTACCAGTATTTTCGCACTCGCTTCGTACATGTCATCGATACTTGTGCTGCGCGCATCTGTGGACACCATCGCAACGCTTCGGCATGGAAGCACAACGTGAATATAACCTAGGTACTGGGACAAAGGACCCCAGAGAGACATCGCTTGCGTGCCACGCGCAGCAAAACATCATGATGTCCGTCAGCACATCCCTTGCCGAAATCTACATCAGCACACAGCACGAGTTTTGCTGCAGATCGGTGAGATCCAGTCAGCGCAGGCTCCATGACGACAGCGCGCGGGCGCACCTTTTTCGCCGTCTTGTAGAACATCTTGCTTTGTGCCGAAAGCGCGTTCGACCGGTCTACGAGGTCGTTCAGCTTCTCGCCGCGCTCGAGCACGGACTCGATCGTCTTGTGCTGCACAAGAACCCGGCCGCGAGAGCAGCCCCACATTGTTAGCTTCCAGACCCTAAACGCCGTCTCGAAAAACGGCCCACGCAGACGACGCACCAGCACGATCTTGGTCTCGTCGAGCTCCTGCTGCACGCGCATGATCGCGTCTGCCTGCCGTGGGTCCTGGAACTTCTGCAGGTAGCTGTGGATCTCCGGGAAGCTGATCGCGGACGGGTTCGAGAACGACGTCTGGGGTATCTGGGCCGTGAAGTCGTCCAGCAACTTTGCGAGCAGCGAGAACGCTGGGCGGACGGGGTATTCGTGGTCGGTGATGATGACGGCTGCGACCCCCACAAAAAAAGCTTTAGCATGTTGGAGCATCTTTGGTAGCGAGCGCATCCCAACGCACCGGCGAGCTGCTCCGCCCCACCTCGGTTGTAGACATGCGCGGTGTAGTTGTTCTCCTGCACGCTCTGCCGCTGGCCCTGCGGCGTGCGCTCCGCAATCGTCTTGGAGAAGAATGTCAGAAACTCGCTGACGGAGCCCTTCTGGTAGAACGAGAACGTGGAGAGGTCCGTGGCATTGCTGAGGAGCGTCGAGGCCTGGTGGGGTGGCGCAAGGACGACAGAGAGCGAAAAGATCTTCATATTAAGCCGTGAAAAGAGATAGTCCAACGACGCCGAGAAAAACGAGAAAGAGAGAGAGACAAGAAAGAGGAGGTCGTGGTCGTCGACGGCGTCGCCGCACAGCGCGCTTCCCCCGCCGAGCCCACCCCACGTGGAGCCGAGTCCGGCGCCTGACGCCGTCCCGCGGCCCTCTCCCCTCGCCCGAGACACCCTCGCCCATGGCTTGGACCTCGCTCCTGTACTCGCTCTCCCTCTTCTGGGCCGCCGTCCACGCCCTGCACCACGTCTGGTCCCGCCGCCAAACGCCCCGGAGCGTCCTCCCCTCGCTGGCCGCGCCGCGCAGGACCCGCCGCGCAGGCCCCTTCGACGTGACCCTCAAGTACGCCTACCTCCACGTCGAGACCGCGCGCCTCGGCGAGCTCCATGACCGCGCCTCGCTCTTCTTCGCCCGGACCCGCCGCGCGCGCCGGAGGCGTGCCGCGCACGCGTTCTACAACGCCGGGACCGCCGCCGCCGTCTTTGGCATGGCCGCCGCGGTGTACCTCCTGTGCTCGACTGTCTTTTGGTCCGTGAGCCCCCAGCTGCTGTCGTCGTCGTCGTCGTCGCCGTCTGCGAATGCGCCGCCGGCCACGGTCGCCTTTCGAAAACGCGATTTGGACGCGGCAGCGTCTGGGGTGCACTCTTTCCAAGCCGCGCATACAGCCGGCCAGGCTGCTCCCGTCCAGCTACTGGTGAGTGCTCGCTGCGCGCCCCCACAGTCTGCCCAGAGCGTCCCGAGCACCTCTCATGACAGAATTGTGGCTGCCACAGATCCCGGGGGTCACGCTGCCCATGTCTCACCTGCCGCTGTTGCTACTTGCCCTGTTCGTCTGTCAAGTGATCCACGAAGCTGGACATGCGATTACGGCAGCCATGTGAGTTTCAACAAGCCTCAAGAACGGCTGTCTAGCTAACTACCGTCCGTTTCCGAGTGAGCAAGTACCGTTACTCGCCGTCGGCGCGTCCTTGGTAGTGCTCTTGCCTTCTGCGCACGTCGCTCTCCCCTCAGCTGGTCTTGCCGGACTGGCACCCTCTGCTCGGCTGCGTGTCATCTCCGCAGGTGCCTTTCACAACCTCGTGCTCTGGCTTGCGTTGGCATCTGTCTCATGGCTCGGTTTCGGTACGCTCGTTTGGTCCTGCCTCGGATACCGAGACGTCAGCGCGTACGGCAGGGTGGTCGTGGCCGTAGAGGAGGTACGAGTGCCATTCCTTGACTAACCATACATACACCATCATGATCTCTCAGAGCTCGCCGGTACAGGCTGCTCTTCCAGTCGGAGCGGTAATTGTGCAGATCGACGACGTGCTCTTGGCATCGACGAAGGCCTCCCTCATGATATATGGTCGCTATATGCGTCA